TTCTTGTCATCCAGGCTAGAGTGCAGTGGCGCAATGTCCGCTCACTACAATCTCCGTCTCCTGGGTTCAAGTAATTCTCCTGCCTCAGCCTCCCGAGTAGCTGGGATTAAAGGCGTGCGCCAGTGTGCCCAGCTAATTTTTGTAGAGACAGGGTTCCACCATGTTGGCCAGGCTGGTCTTGAACTCCTGACCTCAGGTGATCTGCCCATCTCATCTCCCAAAGTGCTGGGATTACAGGGGTGAGCCACAGCGCCCGGCCAACCCGCATACTCGTCAGAATTCTGGGAGATCCCCCCCAGTTCCCAGCCCCCTGGGCCCCGGCAACCTGCCCCCCCACCCTCCTCCCTTCGGACCCGACCAAGGATACCCAAGCTCCTACCCAAACCCCTGCGCCCCTCCCCTACCCGCCCACCCGGCGGCTCAGGCCTCTGTGCCTTCGGGCCCCACGAGCAGCAGCGGCTGGGCGTTCTTGCCCTTGTCGTGCCAGCACACATCGAAGAAGGGGTACACGGGCCCGGGGAGGCGCTCGTGGAAGGCAAAAAGCAGCACGAGGGCATCCGCGTCGCTGGCGTCGTAGAAGGAGAGGACACCGTCGCTGAAGCTCAGGTAGAGGCCGATGCGCGTGGGCCGCCTCTCGGGGCTGCGCAGCGCGCGCGGCTCCTTGGCCTCCACGTGCGCCTCCAGGATCTTGCTCTCGCGCAGCCCCAGCAGCCACAGGCCCTGCGAGGGCACCGGGTGCAGGCGCCCGCGGCGGGGGGCCTCGGCCGAGATCACGCCCAGCGCCCAGCGCGGCTTGTCGCCCACCTCCACCTCCCAGTAGTGCTCGCCCTCCGAGAGCCGCTGGTGGGCCACCACCGCCACTGCCTTGTCGAACTGGCGTGGGTCCTCCCCGGCCGGCGGCGCCTTCTGCTCCGAGCACTCCACGCGGCAGCCCGAAGAAGACACCACCAGGCTGGGGTGCGCAGAGCTCGGGTCAAACGTCAGCTCCTCCAGCGCTGCCGGAGAGACCACAGTCAGAACGCTGGGTGTGGTGACTGTGGTCTCGGTGACTGTGGTCTGTGGTGGGGAGAAGGCCTCGCTGGGGCCTTCTCCCCACCAATTACAGGCCAGCTTTGTCTCCCTAATCCTCCCTGCGTCTCTGTTCACCGGCTTGGGCACCAGCCCACACCTGACTCAGCCTCAGTTTGCTCAGCTGTGAGATGAGGCCATGAGTGCTTCCCTGTAGGGTTGCAGGCATGGCCGCATATTTTCTTTTTTTTTTTTTTTGGCAGGGTCTTGCTTTTTTTTTTTTTTTTTTTTTGGCAGGATCTCACTCTGTCGCCCAGGCTGGAGTGCAGTGGTGCAACCTCAGCTCACTGCAACCTCCAACTCCCAAGTTCAAGCAATCCTCCCATCTCCCATCTCCCAAGTAGCTGGGAGTACAGTTACCTGCCACCACACCTGGCTAATATTTTTAAGTTTTTGTAGAGACAGGGTCTCACTATGTTGCCCAGGCTGGTCTCAAACTCCTGAGTTCAAGTGATCCACCCATCTCAGCCTCCCAAAGTTCCGGGATTACAAGCATGAGCCACCGAGCCTGGCGGACAGGACTAAATTGATACAAGGCATGGAACTCACCATCTGAGGCCCAAATACGGCCCAAGGTCAAGGAGTCTCTGGGCCTTAGTTTTCTCTTGAATGAAATGGGGCTGTCTCCATTCCCACATCCCCTGAGGCAGGAAGGGCTGCCCCAGCAATGGGTATGTCCCAGAGTTCTGTAACCTGCATCATCAAGCTCTCGGAGGAGGAACTGAGCCCTTGGGCCTCCCCAGCCACAGGCCACCAGAGTTTCTCTCTGACCCATGCCAGCCCCCAGGGTTCCAGGAGCTCTGCAGATCCTCAGTCCCCAATTGGCAGGATTTACTGTCTCCACTGTCCAGAGAGGGGCAGGGACTGACCACGGATCATACAGGAAGTCAGAAGCTCAGACCCAGGCCCCATCGTCCCCGACCACTGACAGCAACAACCCACTGCAAATGCCCTCAAACGTCCTCCTCTCCACGCAGGTTAGGGGACTTCACAGGGGGGAACCCCAGAGGCAAAGGGGTAATGGGTACCTCCTTCAGTGGCCTCCACAGTTGCGACTTGGAGGCCTCTCCAGGGTGGCTAGGGCCTCCCATCAACCACCCGGTCACACACAAACCTGAACCAGTCCCTCCCGGTACCTGGCATCAGAGCCCGGAACATCTTCCTCCACACCTGGAATTTGAAGTCATCTGAGATGATCGGCAGCTGGATGTCGAGACGGGCGGGTGGGGGGGACTCCGCCAGGATCTTCTGCAGCCTGAGGGTGGGGCGGTAAAGAGGAGGGATCTGTGAGGGGGAGGACAAGGGCTGGGGGGATTCTAGGATCTCCCCACATCACAACCCTGCTCAAAACTCTTCCTTTGGAGTTTCGGTTTGGGAAGATGAGAAAGTTCTGAAGATGGACACTGGTGATGGTTGTACAATGTGAATGTACTTAGCGCCACTGAATTTTAAATGCACACTTAAAAATGCTTAAAATGAGCTAGGTGGGGTATAGTCCCAGGTGCTCAGGGAGGCTGACTCAGGAGACTCACTGGAGCTCAGAAATTTGAGTCCAGTCTGGGCAACACAGCAAAATCCTGTCAAAAAAAATTTAAAAAGCTGGGCGCAGTGGCCTTTAATCCCAGCACTTTGGGAGGCCAAGGCAGGCAGGTCATCTGAGGTCGAAAGTTCAAGACCAGCCTGGCTAACATGGCAAAACCCCATCTCTACTAAAAATACAAAAATTATATGGGCATGGTGGTGGGCACCTGTAATGCCAGCTACTCAGGAGGCTGAGGTGGGAGAATCACTTGAACTCAGGAGGTGGAGGTTGCAGTGAGCCAAGATTGTCCCATTACACTCCAGCCCAGGCAAAAAGAAACCCCATCTAAAAAAAAAAAAAAAACTTAAAATTGTCAATTTTAAGTTACATATATTTTACCACTGTTTGTTTCCCTTGTTTGTTTACCACTGTTTGTTTGTTTGTTTGTTTTTTGAGATTGAATCTGGCTCTATCATACAGGCTGGAGTGCAATGGCACAATCTTGGCTCACTGCAGTCTCCACCTCCCGAGTTCAAGCAATTCTCCTGCCTCAGCCACTGAATAGCTGGGAATAGAGGAGTCCACCACCACACCAGGCTAATTTTTGTGTTAAAAATTAGCTAGGTAGGGCCGGGCGCGGTGGCTCAAGCCTGTAATCCCAGCACTTTGGGAGGCCGAGGCGGGTGGATCACGAGGTCAAGAGATCGAGACCATCCTGGTCAACATGGTGAAACCCCATCTCTACTAAAAATACAAAAAATTAGCTGGGCATGGTGGCGCATGCCTGTAGTCCCAGCTACTCAGGAGGCTGAGGCAGGAGAATTGCTTGAACCCAGGAGGCGGAGGTTGCGGTGAGCCGAGATCGCGCCATTGCACTCCAGCCTGGGTATCAAGAGCGAAACTCCGTCTCCCAAAAAAAAAAAAAAAAAAATTAGCTAGGTATTGATCTCCTGAACTCAAGTGATCCGCCTGCCTCAGCCTCCCAGGTGCTTGGATGACAGGTGTGAGCCACCGTACCCGGCCCAACCACATTTTTTTTAATCCTTCTGTTGGGATAAAGTCCAAGCCCCCCAGCTTTGTCAGCACAAATGCATCTACCACCCCAGCTTCCTCTTCCTCCCACTCACCAGCAGCAGCCGTTCCCTCTGCGAGCAGTGCCCTTCTCCCCCCAACTCCCTTCTTCCCGCCGCCGTGCCCTTCTCCTCGAAACGCCTTTCTCCCCGCTCCCCAAAGTGCCCTTCTCCCCGCAATGCCCTTCTTCCCCCAGCGCTTTGCCTAGCCAACTCCTGTTCATCCCTCCAGGACCCAATTCAAACGTCCACTCCTTCTCTGGCCACCCCTTTCCCTCCACGGACACACTGAGCACACAATGATGCCTGTGTCCCCACCCACGTGTCTCTAGGCACCAGTCTAGCAGGTCCCTGAGGGAAAGCATCAGTCTAGATTATTTCTGTCTACAACCCTGTGTTCAGGCAGGGAAGGGCAGCGGACTGTATTGCAGGTGTGCAGGCACACTGGTGAGTGGAGAGTGAAACAGCTGGTGTCCCTAGAAGACTGGGACAAGTCGGGCAAAGGGGCAGGGCCACGTTGCTCTCACCTGCTGGTCACCAGGCAGTATTTCTGGAGAGAGAGAAAAAGAGAATGGTGGTGAAGCCGATGGTGGGGACATTGGAGACTTTGAGGATGGGGTAGACAGCTAGGAACGCTGAGTGCGATGTCAGGAAGAATCAGAAAAGCCAAAAGAGGCTGGACAAGGTGGCTCATGCCTATAGTCTCAACACTTTGGGAGGCCAAGGCGGGTGGGTCATCTGAGGCCAGGAGTTCGAGATCAGCCTGGCCAACAGAGTGAAATCCCATCTCTACTAAAATTACAAAAAAAATCAGCCGGGTATGGTGGCGTACACCTGTAATCTTAGCTACTCAGAAGGCTGAGGCAGGAGAATCACTTGAACCCAGGAGGTAGAGGTTGCAGTGAGCTGAGACCATGCCACTGCACTCCAGCCCGGATAACAGAGCGAGACCCTGTCTCAGAAAAAAAAAAGAAAGAAAGAAACCCAGAACTCAAGGCCACCCCTACCCCTTCACTTTCATGTGGATTAGAAAAAGGTATCCTCTCCTCCAAGAATCTCTGATTCCACCTGTTAGAAGATTTCCTAATAGGCTGGGTGCACTGGATCACACCTGCAATCCCAGCACTTTGGGAGGATGAGGCAGGCAGATTGAGGCCAGCCAACAGAGTGAGACCCAATCTCTACTAAAAATAAAAAAATTAGCTGGGCATGGTGGTATGCACCTGTAGTGCCAGCTATGGGAGGCTGAGATGGGGGGATTGCTTGAGCCTACAAAGTCAAGGCTGCAGTGAGCTATGATCATGCCACTGCACTCCAGTCTGGGTGACAGAGTGAGACCCTGCCTTAAAAAAAGAAAGTGTCCTAATAAATATATAAACCTACAATGTCTATGATTTAAATGGTGTTCACTTAATACAATGCCCTTGTGCAGTGCTCAACCTAAACAATCATACAGCAGTCCTGAGGCCTGCCCCTCCCAGATACGTGATGCTGGCTTATGCCCGCCCCACTCAGGGCCTATCTGATAATGGGATAAGGTCTCTGGGGCCTGAGCAGGGGGCCGAGGCAGGGAGGGCAGGGGAGGTCACCCAGTGCTCACCATGAGGAACTCAGTCTGTGGCTTGTCGGTCACCTCTTCCAGCACCTTCTCCATCTGCCGCAGCTGCTCCAGGTAAGAGTTCAGGCTCCCCAGCTCCCGCCGCAAGGCGACCCCTGCCTCGCCCCGCACACGCTCTGCCTCTCGGTCCAAAGAGCCCTCCAGTGCAGCCAGGAACAACCGCATCTTGCCCAGCTGGTCCCCCACGGCTGCCCGGAACTGACGCACCATCTCCTGCAGGGATGGGGCGGTGATCCACAGGATAAAGGCTCTTGGCTGGAGACCCCTAGCCTGGCGCGCCCCACCACACACACACAGGCTTGGCCCTGCGAAGCCCTCACCTCCACCTCCACCAGCTGATGCTCCAGCACAGCCACGCTCTTCTCCTTGCGCATGCAAGCCTCCTGCAGCTGCAGTTTCTGCTGTGGCAGCTGTGTCTGGGGGTGAGGCATGGAGAAGTGATGGGGATGCCACCCGCCCCAAACCCACACCTCCCATCTAAACCTGCCCTCTGTGGCTCAACCTCGATGCCAGCTCCTCCTCCAGCCAGCTTCCCATCCCCAAACCCACTTGCATTTCTCCTGGCCTCAGCTAGTGCTACTCCCGAGGTTCAGATGCTTCCCCTGCCCTTGTCTATTTCCGTGTTTGGTTTTTGGGGGTTTTTTTGGTGTTTTGAGACAGGGTCTCTCTCTCACCCTGGCAGAATGCATGGCATGGTCACAGCTAACTGCAACCTCACCCTCCCAGGCTTAATTGACCCTCTCACCTCAGTCTCCCAAATAGCTGGAGCTATAGGCACGCACCACCGTGCCCAACGAATTTCCTTTTTTTTTTTTTTTTTTTTTGGATGGAGTCTCACTCTGTCACCTAGGCTGCAGTGCAGTGGTGCAATCTCAGCTCATTGCAACCTCCACCTCCCGAGTTCAAGAAATTCTCCTGCCTCCACCTCCCAAGAGCTGGGACTAAAGGTCTGCACCATCACACCCGACTAATTTTGGTATTTTTAGTAGAGACGGGGTTTCACCATGTTGGCCAGGCTGTTCTCGAACTTCTGACCTCAGGTGATCCACCCACCTCAGCCTCCCAAAGTGCTGGGATTACAGGCATGAGCCACCACACCCCCAGCCCCTTGTCTATTTTGTTGACCCCTCCCTGGTCGTGCCTTCCCTGACCCCCTCTGCTCAGCAGTCAGCCCCACAGCACAGGTCTTTGTGAGGATGTCAGACACCAGTGAGGTTTGATCTCCCCTACCAGACAGGCAGGCACAGAGCTTGGCACACAACAGACCTCAGGGAGGTCTGTTACAAGTACATGAAGGATGTGTGAAAGAAGAAAGGCAGCCTTCCCCTACTCCTGGGTTTCCTCTCTTACGTAAAAGCAAGAACACCAGCTAGGTGCGGTGGCTCACGCTGGTAATCCTAGCACTTTGGGAGACCGAGGCAGGTGGATCACAAGGTCAGGAGTTCGAGACCAGCCTGGCCAACATGACGAAACATCGTCTCTACTAAAAATACAAAAATTAGCTGGGCAAGGTGGTGCACCCCTGTAATCCCAGCTACTAGGGAGGCTGAGAAGGGAGAATCGCTTGAACATGGCTGATGGAGGTTGCAGCAAGCAAAGATCACACCACTGCACTCCAGCCTGTACGACGGCACCAAGACTCCATCTCAAAAAAAAAAAGCAGAACACCAGCCTCAGTCAGTCTGACCCCCCAAGTCAGCCTGCCTGTACACATATGGGCTTGGGGGGTGGGGGGCAGGCAATTTAATTTAAATATTCCCTTATAGACCAACCAACCACTCTGTGGTCTAGATCTTACTCAAGACCTGAAATGCACATATGCAAATATAGGAACGCTCCCTCTACTCCTGCCAAAGCCACTTCTTCTTTTTTTTTTTTCCCCTAGGCTTTAGTGCAGTGGCACAATCACAGCTCACTGCATCCTCGATCTCCCAGGCTCAAGCAGTTCTTCTGCCTCAGCCTATAACTGGCACCACAGGGATGAGCGACCATGCCAGGCTACAAAGCCACTTCTTTGCTGGGAGGTGCTTGGCCCTGGAATCAGTTCCACTCCTGCCTCCACGACTTTCAACCTGTTTCCTCCTTTGCAGATTGGGAACAGCAATCCCCACCTCAACAATTTGGCTCCCCCCACTTTCCCAGGGGAAACTGGGGGACCCTCTAAGGCGGTGTTTGCAGAGTCCCCTCCCAGCAGGAGCCACAGGGTTGCACGTGAGCTGCCAGATCAGTCTCCTCCCCAGGACATCCCCAGGGGCGGCGGCTCCTCCTGCTGCGGGAGAGGTGGGGCCTAGTGGTTCAGGGCCCTCGGACGCTCAGAGGCGCAAGGCTGAGCCATGGGAAGGAAGCGCGACGCCATCCTGGAGGTGCTGGAGAACCTGACCCCGGAGGAGCTCAAGAAGTTCAAGATGAAGCTGGGGACGGTGCCGCTGCGCGAGGGCTTTCACCGCATCCCGAGGGGCGCGCTTGGGCAGCTGGACATCGTGGACCTCACTGACAAGCTGGTCGCCTTCTACCCCGAGGACTACGCAACCGAGCTCGTCGTGACCGTGCTGCTCGACATGGGCATGCAGGAGGAGGCGGAGCGGCTGCGAGCCGCGTGAGGGCCACTCCGAGCTGGCACGTGGTCTCGGGACCCAACTCCGCTTCCTCACCAAGGACCCAGGCGTTGGGTCCCGTCCAGAGCCTTCCTGTCTTCCTCCTCCTTCAGGCTCCCTTCTGGGGTCCTCCCTCAGACCTCCGGCCAGCACCTCCTGGTGGCGAAGGGCTGGGCTGCCGAGGGCCCCGGGGCGGGGGGGGCGCTGCATCTTGTCCCACTGCCCTTTTCCAGGCTGTTGGGCTGCCTGGGCCCTGTTCTGTTTCACGGGTTCTGTGCTCTCTTCGCAGATAAAGATGGACGAGTTTGGGAGCTCCAGGGCATAAGCACAGGGGAGCTGGGATGGGAGGGCTCCTGGGAGGAGGCTCCTGCCCTGAGCTAGGAGACCACCAGCCAGGACTGAGCTGAACTGGGCCAGGCAGGAGCTGGCGGGACTGAGAGTCTGGGCCCCTGGGAAGTATGGGGGCCTCGAATACCAACGAAAGGACGGTGGTTTACCCCCTCTAGGATACGGGCCAAGGGAAGGAGCAGTGCAACGCTGGTAAAGCCAGCCCCGCGCGCGCCCCAGTCTCGGAAGACAATGGCAGTGTCTCCACCTCGGAGACCGGAGACCGAGGACGCCTCCGTGCCTCCGGATCCCGCCTCCTCCAGCCCTGTACCTGGCGTTTATTCTTCCACTGACCAATAAACATTCATGGCAGGCTTTCCTGAGGCTGCGCGCACACGTGTCCGCTCGTAGATACACGCGTGTGCTTTGCCACACGTGTAACACGCCCTAGCCGGTGTGCACGCGTCTCTACTTGCCTGTGTCTCGGTGTCTCTGCTGGGTATGTCCTGGCGCACACAACTGCGTGGGATCCCAAGGCTTTCGGGACTTCCAGCTACACCCAGAAAGGCATCCTGGGTGGGGCTCTCGGTGCCACGCTGGGCCCGCGCTCACATGTGCAAACCCCGGCGTACCTTGTCCTTCCCGCCTCCCTTCCGGTAAGGCCAGCCTGGACCCATCAGGCCCGCCCAAGTTCCGCAGCTTCAGGGGTGCGCGTGGGCCTCAGCTAAGGACAGCCCCGCCCCGGCCGCCTGGTTCCCTCCGGAACGCCGCTCCTCCCGTCCAAAGAGGGCCAGCGCCGCGCGGGGAGCCAGTCCGACCCGCCCACCAGGTGCATGAATATGCGCGTGGTCCGCGGGGCTAGCCAGTCCCGGTTCCGCCCTGCTCGCCTGGCCCATCAGACCCGCCCCGGGGATCCGCCCGCCCATCTTCAGGCCCCTCGAGGGGTTCAGGCCCGGAAACCTAGGTTTGCTCAGCACCCTTCTGGCCAGGCTCGGTCCCCGCGCGGCTTTCCTCTACCAGCCCCGCATTCAGCTCCTCAGACCCTCTTTCCTGGCTGCTTCGCCCCGCCTCCGCTCCCCGCAACTGCAGGTTCTCGGGAGCCTCTCTAAAGTCTCAGAATCCAAGTCAGTGCAGCGACCTCCCGTCGGCCAGGCCCGGCGCCACCGAACAACCCCTCTGACCCCGACGCGCGTGGATCCCGCACCTTGAGGCGAGCGTGGGCCTCGGCGGCGGGCAGGAGGCGGTGGCCGCGGTGCGAGCCGAGTGAGGCGCACACTCCGCACACCAGCGCTCGGTCCTGCTCGCAGTAGATGCTCAGCGGGTCCAGGTGCTCCTCGCAGTGGCCCTGGGGCACCTGCGCCAGCCCCTCCACCAGGCGCGCCAGCTGCAGGTTGGTATTGAGTGCCTGCGGCCGCGTGGGAGCCTGGCAGCAGGGGCAGAGAACGGTGCCATCCGCCGCCGGCTCCCCGGCCACGCGGCCCAGGCAGGCGCGACAAAAACTGTGGCCGCACTCGGCTGTCACAGGAGCGTCGAACAGCTGCAGGCACAGCGGGCAGGACAACTCCTGATGCAGGAGGCCGGGCGCAGCCGACATGGCGGACCTGGGTGGAGGAAAAGTCGGTTAGGGGAACCCCGCGGCGCCGCGCTCCTGGCCCAGCCCCAACCTAAGGCCGGGCCCCGCCGCGCGCCGCAGGGAGAAGCACCAGCCTGTAAAGACCTCACATCCTACACTGGATGGGACTCTGACGGCCCAGGGGAAAGATGAACTCGGTCTCAGGCCCAAAAGCAGCCTCCATGGCAATTCTCAGCTCCAGATCCAAAAATATGTCCTATCGGTCAACCCCAGTTCCTGAACACAAGCCCAGGGTCTAGCCCACTGTCTTTGCCCTCGCCTTAGCCCCAGGCCCCACCCTCTGACCTCAGCTCCTGCTCCAAATTCCCCAGAGCCCCTACTCTGAGACTCCCCTCTCCCACTTTACCAAGATCCCCAGCCCTCCCCGCCCCCGTCTCTCCAGCCCCTGGGACTCACGAGTCTGGTTGGAGATCTTAGGCCGAAAGAGACTCTAAGGAGGACCGGTCAGGATCGGGCCTAGCTGGACCGGGGTCAGGGCTGTGTCCAAGGATCTGAGACAGGCAGCAGGCTCCAAGCAAGGACGGGGACTCACAGGGGCAGCTGGCAGTGGACACTTGGCGTGATGGGCACACAGTGCTCAGCGGAAGACCCTCCCAGACTAAGCCTGGCCCCTGGACTATATTTAGCTGCTCTGCCCAATCCCTCCTATCACTTCTGGAAACCGTTCTAAAAGTAAGGGCTGAGTCGTCCCCGGGCACGTATCACATGCCAGGTCCACCTGTCTTGGCCCATCCACTGTCCGCTCTGCGCCAGCCTGGAGCTAGAGCTCAGAGCCAGCAGGGAGACAGGGCCTCTCACACCACGGAAAAAACAGAAAATTGAGTGGGGGGGTCTCCCCTTTCTCCCCCCACTCCCACCTTTACACTCTCCAGCTCCTTCCTCCTTTCCCGCAGCACCTCTCCAGCCTGTGGTCCACTCATTCCTCAAGCTTATGGCTGGCCAAGGCCACTCTGGCAGGATTACCCCACCTGAAGGAGGGCAGGACCTCACCCCACCCTGAAATGTTTTCCTCCTCCAGAGCTGAGGGGAGGGTCTTTTCCACATTGGTCTCTCCAGTACACCCAGAACAAGCCCTGGGGCGAAGAAGGTCTCTCTAAATGCTTGGAGAATGACTGATAGAGAGATATTGAATAAATGAATGAACTGAATCCAAAGCCTGCAGCCCAGAACTCAATTCTGCCCTGGTTCCTGTATGTGTACCTTTCAAATCTCAGCCGAAATTTTATTTAAGTGGCACTGGGATAACTGGCTAGCGACATGCAAGAGAATGAAACTGGACCCCTACCTTTTACCAAATACAAAAATTAACTCAACTGGCCTGGAGAGGTGGCTCATGTCTGTAATCTCAGCACTTTGGGAGGCCAGGGTGGATCACGAGGTCAGGAGTTTGAGACCAGCTTGACCAACATGGGGAAACCCCATCTCTACTAAAAATACAAAAATTAGCCAGGCTTGGCGGCCCATCTAAAACTATATCAATAAATAAAATAAAATAAGTTCACAATGCCTGCACAACATGGCAAAACCCTATCTCTACAAAAAATACCAAAAAATTAGCTGAGTGTGGTGGTGCATGCCTGTGATCTCAGCTATTCAGGAGGCTGACGTGGGAGGATTACCTGAACCTGGGAGGCGAAGGCTGAAGTGGGCCGAGATTGTACACTGTACTCCAGCCTGGGTGACAGAGTGAGACTCTGTCTCAAGAAAATAAATAAAGATAAAAAACAAAAGTTGAAATTATTTAAAAAAGAAAAAAATCATTTTACCTTCATTTTTTTTGTGTGTATGTGAGACTGAGTCTCACTGTGTCTCCCAGGCTGGAGTGCACTGGTATGATCTCAACTCACTGCAGCTTCTGCCTCCCAGGTTCAAGCGATTCTCCTGCCTCAGCCTCCTAAGTAGCTGGGATTACGGAACCAGCCACCACATTTGGCTAATTTTTGTATTTTTAGTAGAGACGGGATTTCACCATTTTGGCCAGGCTGGTCTCGAACTCCTGACCTCATGTGATGTCTCCCAATTTTACTTTCAGTTGTCTTTTTTTTAAAGGGCCAGGCACGGTGGCTCACCCCTGTAATCCCAGCACTTTGGGAGGTGGAAGCAGGAAGATTACCTGATCAGGAGTTTGAAACCAGCCTGGCCAACATGGTGAAACGCCACCTCTACTAAAAAAAAGAAAAACACAAAAATTGGCCAGGTGTGGTGGCAAGTGCCTGTAATCCCAGCTCCCTGGAAGGCCGAGGCTGGAGAATCGCTTCAACCCAGGAGCCGGAGGCTGCAGTGAGCTGAGATCATGCCACTGCACTCCAGCCTGGGTGATGGAGCAAGGCTGTGTCTCAAAAACAATTAAAATAAAAATAAAAAAATGAAAGAAATTTCATCTAGAATAAAAACCAAAGTGCTCACTGTGGCCCACACGCCCTATCTGGTACAACCCTTAATCACTCTGACCTGTTTTTCACCCCTTTCCCCGTTGATCACTTGGCATCTGGGACTTTGCACTTGCCGTCTCCGCTGCCTGGAACACTTTCCAACCCAAGTACTGCGTGGCTTCCTTTTTTTTCCTCCCTCAGACTTTGCTCAATGTCACCTTTCCAGCAAAGCCTCTCCCAACTCCCTGATTTTAAATCTCCTATCTCCCCAACACCTCACTTCCTGGCTTTCTTTCTCCCCATAGCAATTATCACCATCTAGCATGCTACCATTCCACTTGTTTGCTGGTTTCTTGTCTATCTCTTCCTACAGAATAGAAATTGTGTTTACTGCTTGTCTCCAGCTCAGAATAAAGCGTGTGACACACAGTAGGCGTTCCACAGATACTGGGTGAATGAATAAGCATGCAAACTCCGTCTCTCTCACTTGGCCTCTCCATTTTTCTCTTAGCTTCCCTCAAACCTTTCCCTGGTTTTACTCTTTCCTCTCTCAATAGCTCTCTGTCTCTCTCAGTATGAATTTCTGAATTGCTGTTTCTGTTTCTGTTTCAGTCTCTTAATCTCCCGTTTGGACTCTCCCTTTGCCTCTTTCTTAGGTTGTTAATTTTTTATCTTTCTTTTTTTTTTTCTCTTCTTTTTTTTTTTTTTTTTTTTTTTTTTT